TTTTCTAACAATTTAATTTAAATATACTTAACTGAAATTATGCCAAATAATACACAGTATTATAAAAATATACATATAAACATAACTATTAATTATAAGATTTTTTTTTCAAATTTAAACAAATCATAGAATTTCAAAACAAATCATAGAATAATAATTAACACAACATTAAAAAATTTAATGCAATGGTTGAGCTTGTTTTTAGCACAAATTTTCTCAAACCGCGGCATTATTGTAAAAATCGCTGTTCTCAGTTTCTTTTCGATCACTATAAGCGAGATCTGCACTTTGTTTTTAATACTGCTTCTGCAGAAAAACCTGTTTGAGTAAGATGTCACAAATGGCAATAAAATTTATAAAGCATCATTTGTTAGGAAAATCGTCCTCCTTATTTTTTTTCGTCCTGAAACATATCTGCTTCAATGTACTATCACTAGATAAATCAATTATCATTTACTGCTCTCGTGTTGAATGACCAAAATCATCATGTTTTTCAATCTTAAATGGATTTCTAATCCATTCGTATTTGGAAATATCTATATGTTTAAAGTAATGCGAAAATTGGTTCCTTAAACTGTAGTAATATGACTGATAATAATCATTTTTATTTTTATTTCATCAGTCACACAAGTAATTTCAAGCTCAAACACTCTTAGAAGTAGTTATTTGCTGATTTGGTTTTGACACTGACTCAGCATTTAAAAATAATATTTCTGAAACAGCTTTGCGTCCCTCCCTGGAACGGTATGGCGCCCTTCTGCGGAGCCGCGCCCCACAGGTTGGAAATCGCTGGTCTAGTTATTTTATTTACCCAGGTAAATGTTATTCAGGTTGTTTTTGTTTGCTTAGTGTGTTTTAACTCTATTGTAGGGCTTATATTCATAGTCCACTGAATTAAGATAAGTACTTCAGCCTAACCGTTTAGGTAAAAAATGAACATAAAAATAGCTACAAGAGTCTTGTAGCATGTAACATTTGATTATTAAAACTTAACTCGTATGTATGTATGTATGTATGACAGTTTAAGAAACATGATTGAATTTGTACGAGATACATCTGATTACGTTTTCTAACAATGATTGACATAGATAATAAGAAACACAATTAAAACCATCTATTTCAATGAATATTTTTATTCAAAATATTTACACTTACTATTTACAATATAATCCATGTCACAGATCTGTTAATGCAGATGTTCTTTCCTATAGTAGGTGGAGTGAATTGCGCTCCAATGTACAAAAAATGCAACAATGCACAAGCACAAAGCCGTTCACTTCATACAGGGCAATAAAAAACATTTACCCATAAATATTAGGTATAATTTTCAGTACAAGTTTAAGCGTCAATAAGAAAGCACATAAGAAAGTACCCACGTAACTCGTGAAACCAGTTAAATAAATAAAATAAATAATAATAAATTTAAAGCAAAATAAGTTAAGTTATATAAATCCAAGTTATAAGTAAATAAATTAGTGAAACAAATAAGTCAACAAGAGTTTCATTATAAACCCGATTTTATATTTATGGGAAATGTCCCAGTAGGTTTACTGAAGCTGATTTAGTGCTTTGCAAATATATAATTTTTACCCCCAAAAATTCCACTTTTACCCCGGTTCCCCGACCACTAAACTAGAGGCTCTTTTTACTCAACACTGATTTTACCATTTTTCACTTTGACATTGACTTCATTATCTTATATATAAAAATGGATCGCAAAATGTGTTGGTAAGCGCATAACTCAACAACGCCTGGACCAATTTGGCCAATTCTTTTTTTAAAATGTTCGTTGAAGTCCAAGGATGGTTGTTACGGCGAGAAAAAAAACGAATAATTGCCGGGAAAACCCTGAAAACAGCCCTTTTCTACTTTAATCGAGTTGGCAACGCAATTTGTAAAAAAAAACAATGATCTATGTCATGACATTTTGTGTAGTTTTTGATAATCTAATTTTGAATATATTTATATAAACATAGAAATATCTTTCTATTAATCAAGCTATATTGGCAGCCAAAAACATTGATGTAAATTAATTCAATTTCAAAATTTAAGAACAAATTACAGGCGAATCAGTTGATTCGGCAACTAACCAAGACGATCCACCGGAGTTTTCAAACTCGCTGGATTTTCTAGGATTGTCACCTCACAATCTTCAATTAAAGGTTGGATCGGCAATTATAATGTTGCGAAATATCGACCAACTATATTCAAAGGATAGTATAAAGCAGAAGATGTTCTCGCACCATGCATCCCAATGCGTTTCCAGTGCGTTTATGGTATTATTAGGAGTTTGTAGTATTAATTTAGAAAACCCATGTTTCTCACATGGAAAATTGTATGTTGTTTGTTCCCGTATTGGAAAACCATCAGATTTGTTTGTCTATGCGCCAGGTAATCAAACAAAAAACATCGTTTATCACAATGCACTACAATGAAAATTGAACTGATTATTGAATTATGATTTACATTATTAAAATTACTTACTTTTAAATGCTTATAGTGTTTTATTTAATTAATTTTAATTCGCACCGAATTATTACCAGGGTGACGGTTCTGCTCAGGATAATTTTTTGCAAAGAATAGAAAAAAGGTAGGCACAAAACACCGCCACATTACAATTTTTTGACAGGACTAAGTCTGTCGGGCCGGCTAGTACATTATAATTATACAGATCTATCAAACTCAATCTATAAACTCAAAAATAAGAGCTGTTGCGAAAAAATGGAACATATATATTTGTAATATAGATGCAAAAAAAAAAATTTAAGGAAAAAACAAAAGTGTCATTTTTGTAATGCAGTGTTATTTTTAATAATTGCTTCTAAATATTAGAAAGTTTGTGCAATTTTTCTTGATGCAAAATTGCCATATACACCAAATTTAAATTTAAAGCTGAACAAACAAAGTATGTCAAGTAACATGCAATCCAAATCAATTATTTATATTTGATTGACACACCTGGGCCTGGACTAAAAAAGCTTATAAAACCACTAAGTCTTGTCTGGGTATGTAGAGTATGGTATCACAGTTTTACATTTTATGTTTCGAATATCTTTCTTCGTGATTACTGATGCCCTTAATGGTAAATGTCCTTCATTTGCTGCATTTCTAATATTGTTCACAATTATGTCATCTGAAACTCCTGCTATAACTTGATCTATAACAAATTGGTAGAGTTATTAATAAAACAAAAATGTATTTAATTTTATAATACAAGTCAATAAAAATTTACCCTTGATATGTTCTTTCAGGCTCTTGTCTAATGAAATAAATTTTATTTGTTGAGTGTGTCCCAAATGTGTCTTCCAAAATTCAACATGAACTGTTCCATTGTGATTAATTGTACAACTAATCCTTGATGGGCAAGCATATCCGGTTTTGTTGCTCGTTTTAGTAAACAAGCGTACAGTGGGTTTCTGATCATATGTATATGACCTGTGGCAATCGAAATAAATTGTCTTGTTATCAGTTTTTGATTTGTATCCTGAATTGGCTTTTACATAATGCGATAACTCCTTCTGCTCCATGTCCGCTTTCCACAATTCAAAATCTACAAAGAAGTCAAAAATGTAGATAATTAGGTAATTAGGTTATAAATTATGAGAGAGTAGACTTCAAACCTTGAATGTTTTGAAACACAAACTGTTCATAATCAATTGTAGTCTTGTGATAGAATTCAATATGATTATATAAACCTGTGTACCTAGAAAAAACTGAAGAGCAGGGAGCGAGTGGACATCTTATTCTTGTTTTTTTTGATGGTGAGCCTACAAAAATGATTTATATGTAACAACAATGAATAATATGAATGTACATTTATAAAAACACTACATACCTTTAAAATTTTCCTTAGAACTGATTGGGGAACTGGGAATGGGAGGCGTTGAATTTGAACTTTGGTGGAGGAAGTGCAAGGATGCGGCGATAAACTTACGTGGGAATGTTTGTGAAGACGATCTGACATGGAAGGAGCAGAGGAAGGAGATGAGCAAGCAGAAAGCGGATATCTTAGTTTCTCTTTTGTTGATTGTGTACCTACAAAAATGATTTATATGTAACACAACAATAATAAAAAAATGAATGTACATATATAAAAGCACTACATACCTATAACATTTTCCTTAGAACTGATTGGGGAACTGGGAATCGGAGCCTGTAAATTTGAACTTTAGTAGAGGAAGTGCAAGTGGTGTGGGGGCGTTTGTGAAGAGGATCTGATGTGGGTATAGAATTGAACTTTGTGAGAGAACTTGAGGGTGAAAGTAAATTGTTAGGTGATGGCAAACATGAAGTAGTATATGAGCTGGGTAAAGAAGGATACTTTATGTTTATTTTAGTGGAGTCTTCGGTGAGATAATGGTGAGATAACGGAGAAGATTGTGCAGGTGAAGAGGTAGGGATATTATTATGAACTTGGCTCACATGACGAGTTAATAAATATTTAAATTTAAAAGTTTTAAGGCAGAAAGTACACGCATTGGGATAAACAGCAGTTGGCTCCTTGTCATGCTTTTGTCTGATGTGGCGATACAAGGATGCACGAGCAGTGAATGGAATCTGACACTCGGTACAGAAATAGTGGCCATCCATGATGCTACGTTAAATTTAAGTAATAAATTTAAATATAAAATAAAAGGAATGAAGGTAATAAAACGTATCGTAATAAATGGAAAGAAAATTAGAAGCTAAAAAGAAAAGATATAAAAAGCTTATAAATGATATTAATTGTAACTAAATATAAACTTACATAAGCAAAATCTAAAAATAAGCTTATAAAATAGAATGTAACCTAAAGCAGAAAATATAATAAAACGCTTACTTGAAACGAAACCGACGCGACCCGATACTCGGCACAAAAATGACAGAGAGACGCGCATGCGCTAAATATTCCACGAATAAGTTACTGCTTAAATTTTGACAGGTTATGCTCCATCCCGGAGACAACTTCAGAGCGTAGGTGCTTTTTAAACGTCAAAATCCATCTGTCATGTTAGTAGAATTTAGTCGCTCCTCTCAATAAATGTTCTCT